GGAAAAATTTTTTTTTTTTTAAAAAAAAAAAAAAAAAAAAAAAAAAAAAAAAAAGAAAAATAAGAAAAATTGCTGTCACTGATAAATCCATATAATCCATATAAACCCAGTACAACCAATTTTTGGTAACACTTTATTTGAAGGGGGGTGAATAAGACTGTCATGACACTTTCATAAACATGACATATCACATGTCATGAACATGAATAAGCCTTCATGAATATTTATGACTGTTGTCATAAAGCGTCATTCGGTAAATTATGACACTTTTAATACAAAGTTGACATTATTTAAAATGTCTTTGTTATGACAACTTGACATTAACCAAGAAATCATTACTGTTTAAACTTTACCTTTAATAAAATAAAGTTACCTAATTTTTAAAGTGCAATCAGTAATACTTTTATAACAAATTTATATCAGTAATGATTTCTTGGTTAATGTCAAGTTGTCATAACAACGGCATTTTGAATCATGTCAACTTTGTATTAAAAGTGTCATAATTTACCAAATGACGCTTTATGACAACAGTCATAAATATTCATGAAGGCTTATTCATGTTCATGACAGGTGTTATGTCATGTTTATGACAGTGTCATGTCAGTCTTATTCACCCCCCTTCAAATAAAGTGTTACCCAATTTTTTAAGTTACAAGAGCAATAGAGCAATTTATTATTTTTGTGAAATCCAAATGTTCTGTGAAGGCCTCAGAGATCAGACATCTGTTCAAAGCATGAACAATCAAACTGTCATAATAAAGTTGTGAGGTTGATAAAACAGGGTCAGGTGGGAGAAATTTCTTTACATGGCAACTCTTAGAGCTGCACATTACAGTTCTGTCATTTTTCTGCCACACTACAACACTAAACTGAAAACAACTGTTTAATCAAAAATATAAGGCCTTCATGGCCAATTCCAGGACACAAAATGGTTTTATTTAGATTACTTTGAATTTTAAAGAGATTTTAATGTGATTTTCTTCTGTTTGACTGTAATTTATGCAACAGTAGTTAACATTTGTTGCTGTCTATCTTGGCCAGGTCTCCCTTGAAAAGGAAGTTGTTGATCTGAATGGGATCTGTCTGGTTAAATAAAGGTTAAAATATAAATAAATAAATATTCCCATAAGGGAGCAAGGTGGCGGCAGCATCATACTGTGGAGATGCTTTTTTTTCAGGAGGGATGGAGAAACTGTTCAGAGTTGATGGAACCTACCTCATAAACAGGGCAGAGATTCACCTGTTAGCAAGACATTACAACAGAACACAAATAATGTTTATTGTCCCTCAGTGGGGAAAATCAAGTGTACTGCCAGCAAAGTGAGAAACAGAAGCAGGCAAATTTGCACAATGTAAAATATAGCAATGAAAAATATGAGATAGGAGACAGGTCAAATTTACAGCATAAAAAATGCTGTACATGTCAGGGTCCAGGGTTATTTTGTGTCTGCTTTTGTACCTTATTGTTTATTCATTATCATGAGACTGAAATTTTACTTTCTGAAAAGTAAAGTTTCAGTCTTTCTCTTTTGATCAGTCTTTCCCAGCAGCTCCCCTGCTCCCTCTCTCTCTTCTTTGCTTTTCTCACAGCTGCACCTTGTTAGTAATTAGTCCCAGTCCATTGTTCCAGCAATCAACCTCCCAGTGTCTAACAGCCTCTCCTCCTCCTTCACCAGTGCAGGTGATGCAGCCCGTCACCTGCATGTAACACAGTGCCTGTTTTGTTTCCAAGTTCTTACTTTACTATTTTCCATTAAACAACTCATCAACTCACTGCAGCAGCCTCTTCTGCTTTTGGGTCCGACTTTCACCTACAAACCATGACAGAGCAGTTTTAAAGACAGCATAGTTTTGGTTCAAAGAACTGTGCAGCTGAGTAGGACAACCACCCTGACCACACGGCCACAGCTGCAAAGTTTAGACTAATGCATATTCATATGTTAGAATCACCGAAAAATCAGTCCAAGAGAAGAATCTTTGGCAAAACTTGAAAACTGATGTTTATAGATGCATTCCAGTCAGTCTTTCTGAGGTGGAGCTTTTAAGAAAAGAATGAGCAACTGTTGTATGTAGAATAATTCTCTATTGAAACAGAATTCAAATGCATACAATTTATTATATATTACATGTTTTGAATGCAGTGCATTATTTTTTTTTTATTATGTGCTACTTTGTGTTCTATCACATTTAAATTAAAAAAAGAAACTGAAGTTGAGGATTTAATGGGACAAAATGTAAAAAAAAACAACAACTTCCGTTTGCAAGACACTGCATGTAAGAGTGGTACAGTACCTTTGCCTGACATCATGTCTAGGATGCTGGGTTGTAGGAGGACAGTGTTGCGTTTGGGTGATGACATTGCGATGGACTTGGCAGATTTGAGCAAGTGCAGCATGTTGGCTTGAGGACTGAAGTCCAGCTCAGGCGCCTTCTTCTTCATGTCAATGTGAACGCCGTGGATACAGCTCCATATACCCTGAGATGAGCACAGGACAGGAAATTAAAGAGAAAATGGCAGGTGAGGAAATTAGAGACAGAGCCTGACTGAGATAGAGATAATTGAAAAGTAAAGGTGATTCCTAAATCAGTGACTTTATCCAAAGAAAGTTCAAATAAGCACAGGATTCATTTCCTTGCAAAGACAAGTAATAGAGACCCCTACTTTGTTTTTAAGAGGGTTTACTGGAGACCTTAACCTAATTATATTTTATAGCATGGCAAAGGGAGATAATCACCACTTTTTTAGATGAATTACTTTCAGCGGTGCTTGATAACTAAATCTAGGGGATGATGTCACTGGAGGGGGTCTCTGAGTGCAAGAAAATGTTCTTCCTACAGTCACTTAACCTCCAGCACCTCTGCTCAAGCAGCATGTGCACGCTGAGACAGACACACACTTGGAGACACATTGAACACGTTTTTTGTAAGACTCTTAATGTGTGAAATGCTGCTCGTCTGGAATAAAAGCCCTGCCTGAGACAGAGGCATCAAATATGAATAATGTAAAAGTGGTCGTTCTTACTGTGCCCATTTGTGTTTTGTGCGTACATTAAGGTTTGTATGCCTGTGCCTCAACCAGTCCATCTGTGGTTTCATCAGCTTATGGGACTTGCATACATTTAACCATTTTTAACTTGGTAGACCTGCTTGTGAATGTGTGTGTGTGTGTGTGTGAGAGAGAGAGAGAGAGAGCGAGAGGATGGAGAAAACAGGCCTTCTGCAAAGTTTCTGCAGCCTGTAAAAGTCTGGAATTTGAGAAAGAAAAGTATTTTTTTCAGGTCAGTAAAAACTATGTAAAAAAATGTAATATGAAAGAAAATAAAAGATAGAAAATAATTTATTTTAGATTTTATTGCTTTCTCCATGGTATAAATGTTCCATTAATTCATCTTTTCCCTTTCTTGTTAAATATAGACTTGCTACTTTTGACTCAAATAGCAATTCATCCAATCACATGGCAGCAACTGAAAGCCTTTATTTAGGCCACCAGTGTCCAAAGTGAGTCCTCAAGGGCCAGGATCCTGCATGTTTGGTTCAACAGACGTGAACTAAATGGTGGCTTGTTAGCAGGCCTCTGCCTATCACAGTCACTATCAGGGTGTTAAACCAGGGAAAAAACTAAAGGCACTTTTCCATTGGCACGTTGCGCTCTGACCAGTTGGATGTGGTTTGGTCCTACATGAGGTAGTGACTTTTCCATTTACGCTCTATTCCTCACTATTGTGGGGAG